CGTGCTTTACTTTGGTTATGTTATAATAATAGTGTGTACAGCGGTTCTTTTTGTGTGTGTTTGTGTTTTGTCTTTCCTACCTCAGCACGCGCAGAGATAAGGAGTGAGAAGAAAACTTATTGAAAATTCATATGACCATGAAAGTGAACATCAGCGCTCATTGTTCGACTTCAGCTTTCTTTTTTTAACTCCTGATTACTTCACATCTAAAGCAATTTGTTACTCTTCTTTTCACAAGAAAACTCAAATACATGGTCAGGTCTGTTCCAACATAGGAAGGCAATTATTTGCGTTTCTCTCGCATTGCTGTCCGCGAGTAGTCTGGAAAGGGGTGGGTTTTCTATCTCGGTGACGTCTCGGCTGACAAGAGAATCTAGCGATGACCCAGACGTTTACACCATTTCAGTTTGTCTTAGAGATTTTTTTTTGCGTCTCTTTCAGGCCAAGATGGAGCTTAACGACAAAGAGAAGTAAGCTCGATAAGTGGACTTGCAGTAATATCTGAGGAATCCAGTGTAGTTATAATATTTACTTGACTTAATTTTGTAATCCCTGGAGATTAACGGAAGTATTCGAAAACAACAAGTGCGTTGTGGGGAAGGGGGGGAGGGGTGGAGGTTCTGAGGTGCGTGTGACCCCATGTCTGAAAGTAATATACGCATGCTCGCTGGTTTACTCTAGTTTGAGCACTCTGGCATGGCTTAGACGATACCACAAAGGTTGGGTCGTTTGGGGTGACCGTCTCGGTTCTCCCCCATCCTAGCATTAGCACTGCACTGATGAGGCCCAGAAGGCCGAAACAGTACTGTCTGTTTTATGTTGCAGTGAGCTTGAAGATCTGAAGATTCAAATCCGTGAGCTCAAGGAAACAGAGATTTCTCAGGTATTTTATCTTCATTTTTGACAACATGGATCCATAAAGCTATATTCTTTAGCATCGTCCTTTCTAAATGAAGTTTTTTTTCCCCATAAACCTGTTTTTTTAACCAGATGTAACCAAACTGTCCGTACACAGCAGGAGGAACCAAACAGATCTTTTCAATCCAGAACTGAAAAGAGTTATTCCTTGATTCTCATTTCACTATCCCACTGAGAATTTCCAAGTAACTAGCTATCACTATCACAATGCCTGTATTGAAATCTATTTTTTTTAATGCTCTTTCTTTATGATGTTAGGTTCTTCCTCTCAAGGAGTCCGATCGCCCAGCTAAGCGTTTCACTTCCAGACTTCGACGCCAACGATGAGATATTTTAACTCACATCATACTGAAAATTAACTTGCCTGAACCTTCAACAACCAATTATTAATAAAAGTAAAGCCATTATTGGTATTCATGGAAGCAAACATTGAAGTTGTAGTTTGAAGGATTATTGCTTGTCCCCCTTTCAATGCCGACCCAGTCCCCCAGCCCCAAGCATTTACGACTGTAGCCTTGAAACTAGCCTTTTTGTAGCTGGTTTCCGGATCTCTTCCCCTGTCTCTCGCTCGCTTGGTTGTAAGTGATGACGCGATGCAGGGAAGCTCATTAATCATCTTTCCCATCCAGACTAGGAAGGATAGCGAATAACCGTGTTGTCCCTGTGAAAATACATAGCCAACTACTTTCAACAAACAACAACAAACATATGAAACATATGTGTGAACTGCGGTTATGAGACGTATATGAGCACGATCCTTCGCAGTAAAGCACTATTTGAGCAATAGTGAAAATCAGACCTGAAAAAAATTTCAGGCCTGTACGGGATTAATAAGCTCATCATCTACGGGTTTATGTCGAATTAATTTGATGGCCTGCTCTCAGTTGGCTTGTTAGCTCAATTGGTAAGAGCGCTGCACTAGTATCGCAGAGGTCAGTGGTTCGAATCCCGTACAGGCCTGAAATTTTTTTCAGGTCTGATTTTCACTATTGCTCAAATAGTGCTTTACTGCGAAGGATCGTGCTCATATACGACTTTCAACAAACTTCAATAAATATATCTTATTAACCAAGCGCGAGGGCCGTACTGGGAGAATATAGGCCCGAGGTCTTGACAGTGCGGACCGAGCGCAGCGAGGTCCGTACAAAAAAGACCGAGGGCCGATATTCTTCACGTACGGTCCCAAGCAAGCTTGGTTAATAAGAGATTTATTACACGACTGAAGTTCAAAGGGACACAAGTGCGGTATCATTCGGGACCATTCGGGACAATACTGAGAGAATATTGACCGGCAATAGAGCATTTTGATTGGCTGATTTTAGTTATTGGCCCTCTGCCTTCCCGAGTCGTGTAATAAATTTCAAATAATAGATTTGTCATATATCAACCTAACAACCAATATTTTCTTGGTTTCAAACTTCTTCACTTGTCTATGAACTCAAAGTTCCCTCTCAGAATTTCAAATTAAGGAATGGACTATAGGTGAGCCATTTTAGTTTTGAAATTGTCACTGCTCAGCACGTGAGCAGAGAGGCAATTTGTCTGCGCATGTTCAGTAAATTTTTGTTTGAAGCAAATAACCGCTGCTACGCGTCTGTGAAGGTTTCCCGCGAAAGAAGTGAAAGAGGAAAATGCGTCGGAAAACAATAGTGGAACGAGCTCTTGAGACAATTTTTCTTGTCATTTTTCCCTCTGTAACTTAGATGAAAGCGTCCTAGTCTTAATATGGTTGTGTGGTGTGCGAAAGGAAGTCACAATTGATTGATTTTCAAAAAGCAAAAGGATGTACAAACGAGTTCAATTCGAGTCCTCGTTAACAATTGTTACACTTGACGAGCGTGTTTATCTGTTTCAATTGTCCACATGTTCGTCACTGAAAATGATACGTTTTGTTCCTGTGTTCTGGAAGCGACAGCGCTAAAGCTGAACAGCTAAAGGATAACTTGCAAGGCAAGCTGCGAAAAGTAGCAGATCTACGAAATATCACCGATATTCTAACAGAAGCACAGGATTTTAAGAAAGAACTTTCTCGCAGCAACTGTGTTGTGTTGGCAGGATCTCGTCATGCATCGTCTCTTATTAAAAACAAACGCGAAGAAATCGAAGATGATTTTATCACTTTCGACGGTAAAGTGATACATGACGAGTTCACAGGAAACAGAAAACTTGTGGACAGATTGGTGACAGCTTTTTTTTTTAAGGAGAGGACCAAGAATGATTGAATTCCGACTGGTTTGGATCAAAGGAGAATTTTTAACCTGCAAGGTGAAGAAATTCAGAGAGGAAATCCTTCCCTGGAACATCTCGAGGATTGCATCAAGGGAATTTTGACTTGCAAAACTCGCGTGTAATTTTGAGTCAGAAGTATGAGATATTGTGGATTATCTCATCTATGTGGAGGAGATTAGACTGAGGTAGACTTTAAAAATCAAACCATATCTGTAAGCAAAGGTTCTAGAAATGAACGGTGGCCCTAAGGGTTAAAAATATTATTGAATCCCGACTGTCCATGTTTGTATGCGTCGAGATAAGAGCTTCGTGCTTGAACTTACCGACTTCTTTCACTTCTTTGACCATGTTATTGGAGCGGATGGATGCAAAATGGAACCTGTCGGCGACCGTTAAAATTCCACGGTACTTGAGATATGATTGTATTGTTATTGTTCTAGAAAGGAAACTTAAAGAGGGAGCAAAGTTCTCGTGTGTAGATTATATATATATATATATATTTTCAATTAAAAAACTGCATATTGAAGCCAATTAAATTGTTAGTTTAGAAACTAGATAGAAAATTCAATAATTTCTTCATTGCAGTCATGAAAAGACCAGCGTTACACGTCTGTACCGTTTGGTCGTGCTAAGCCTAGGTACAAGAACTGCGCGACCCGCCATCACGTCAACTTAAGAGGAGAGATCCTGGAAGCGAGGTTCATCATGACGTCAACATTTCATTTTCATTTTTTCCTTGAGGTCGACTTTATGTGCCAATACTGTGCTTATCCCGTTACAAAGAGAAAGCCACGTTGATGGACAATAAATATAACATACCATGGTCTGATCAGGTTTTTATTGATTTTTATTGTTATCTCATTGTCAATCAAATTAGTTTTACATATTTCCGCTGTTACATCATACAGCTATCTATGAAGCATCACCCCAATTCTCTGTTAATTCCCACTGCACCTGAAGAAGGCTGGTTTGGCCAGCCGAAATATAGTGCTCCGTCTTAAAATTTACTTATCTACGTTGTATCGGTATTGCCTCTATATTTATATTTTTGATCAGAGGCTAAAGGTATATTCATACGTCATAAAAATAATAATTAAGCAAATAGCAGCATATCTTTGGGTTTTTTTTATAGCAAAATGTGCAGACTTATTAATAAACAAATAACATGACATGACCTGAGCATTCGTTGAGGAATTTACAGTATGTAAAACTGACGTTGGTCAATTTTTTTTTCCTCTACAGGTTGTTAGAAAGCTCTCTAAGAGAATACCATGAATATTTTTAAAATTCTGATGTCTCCTCGAAACAATATTAGGGTACTTATCTACTGTATCATGAGCTGTTCAAGCTAAATTTTGTCTTTATCATTATTACATCAATAACTATTAATTCTCGTGGTTGAAAGGTACACATAACTACGATTAATGATGATTGTCTGACACACTGAAGCAAACATTCTAAAGCAATCAGTCTAGGACCCAGTCTTTTACAACTGCGACTCTTTCTCTCCACGGATAGAACCCTTCAGTTTACCTCCTAGTCCTTGAGCTTAGTACAAAAAGTCATCTCCAAGCAATATTTTCTTCATGCGATATTCAAGGTGTGATAAGGTGGGACTTCCTTTGAGGGGCACAATTCCACCTTCCACATGAAAAATTCGGTTTTCATCAAAATCTTTCGGAATCCAGTCATTCTCGGTCCTTTCCGCGAAGTGAATAATGATGAGCCTGTTCTTGACAAGTTCTTTGTTTTTTGTGAACTCCTCATGCATAACTTTGCCATCAAAAAGTATGTCATCCTCGTCTATTTCTTGCTGCTTGTTTCGGATGAGGGACGAAGCTTTGGGTGATGCAATCAACACAACACATTCACTGAGGCAAAGTTCTTCCCTAAAATCTTGTTCTCTCACCAAAATGTTGGTGATATTTCTCATATCTGCAATCTTTCGCAGCCTGCCTTGGAAATAATTCATAAGTTGCCTTCCTTTGGTGCTCTCACTCAGTCTGTAAACAAAAACAGCAATGTTTTCATTTTCGACTTAAATTTGTTTGTTGATGTACACACAAGTTGAATAAAACCGCTTTTGAATGCTGTGGTTTAAATCCGTCTGACAGGAAACTGCAACTGTTCTCGCAAAAAGCAGTGTCGGCAATGTGGGAAGGGCATACCCTTAGCAGCTACAACAATGTATACTAGAAGAGAACGTGTGAACTACATGTGGAATGAATATTGCGCCGTATTTGAAAGACTCGTTGAGGTTTTTCGAAAATTGAATTGCATCAATGATCTTTTTTTAGGCTGAAAACTTTTCATGAAGCTGGCTTTATTGAAGTGTTCAAGCACCTCCAAATAATAGAGGCCCTCCGGAGGCCAGCCCATAATAAGCTCGTGCTTAATTTTTAATGTCTGGAATTTTTTCTTAAAATTTTCACTTTGATTTTTGATAACTGGGAATAAATTCCCTCGCATCTTTCACAACTGAATGCCTGCATAATTTCCGACTTAGGTAACCCGAGATGTTTGCAATCGATTAGAGGTGTTGAGAATCTCTAAAGCCATAACAAGGAGCAGAAAGTCTCTTATCAAGGGGATTTGTTGATTAAGCAGAAGATAACATGCAGTCAAATATAATGACGGTTGGCAAAGTTTCTTTATGTTCTAACTTGTTACGATTTTGTTATTTTTTTTCTAGAGCTTCTTGAATTCAGTGAGGATCGCAATCCGTGGGAGTCAGTCGAAGAAAAACTTAGTGCGATCAGGTGATGAAAATTCCTTATTTACTTTTCTTTCTCGATACGAACCTCGCATGGAGCGTAAATCGATCGAGAGTCGTAAAACCAACAGATGAATATTCATAGTAAGAATTATAACTTAGTTCTTATCAACCGAGCGGGAGGTCTGTATGGGAGAATCTTGACCGAGGTCGCCAGTACAGACCGAACGCAGTGAGGTCTGTACCAGCGACCGAGNTTTTTAAGCATTTCTTTAGGCGGATTAAGCGAATCTGGCAATCTTTCTGGATATCTTGAGTCATTTTTACATGTACCCCAACAGCAATGCCTAGTTGCAACCATTTTAGAAAGTTAGAGCATTTTTTGAGCGAAAATAGTCTTGCTTCTGACACGTTTCGCATACAAGTCCTTGTAAAGACTCCGAGTGTTTGTCCTAAACCAGCGGGGGGTCCAAAGATGACATATCTATTTTTAGACCTGGCACGCAGCGCCATTCACGCGAGGTGGAATAATTGCTTTATTAAAAAAAAAAACAAAAACAAACAAAAAAAGAAAGCGTCCCCAAGATAGTAGACAAATCTTCTCGACTTTTTTTGTAAGAAGAAACCGGATGTTACAATGTACAGATATTAGATTATGGTATATTGCCTCATATACCATAATGGCTAAGCCAATAAAAAGTCTTGAATTGCATTATCCAATGATCCAGTTTTTAATAAAAAGGAATATAGCATAAAGAGAGAGGAAGAACTCAAGTAAAAACAAGAAAACTGCAGTAAGAGCGGTTACATTTATCTCGTTCGTGGCCTTATTCATAGATGTCACACAACGTTCTTGGAAGAAGCCTCTTTTGGGTGGAGCGTTGCGTGACAGTTCTATGAATGATTAGGAAGGACTCGTGACTACAGGAAAACGTGAGTGCTTCAGTCACGCTTGGTCTTAGTTCTGAATACATACATACATACATACATACATAAACTTTATTGAAGTGTCAAGGTTTTTAGCTAAAAGCTAATTGTGGACACTATAAATGAATAACATGAGTATAATATAAGATTAAATAGAGTATATGAAAGCATGAAAGAAAAGAAACGCGTTTAGGAGTACTAAAACACTGGATGTTGAAAAACTCAATGAAGATTTATCTTGTGCTCCCTGGAACGTAATAGATACCTTTGATACTCTTGATGAGAAGTATCTTTTTTGGGAGTCCCTTTTCAACACCATAGTAGAGAAGCACATGCCTACTAAGAGAATGAGGTTTCGTAAAGTTGATGTGCCATACATGACACCTGAATGGAAAAGGGCTATCAAAATTAAAAGGAAATTTGCCAAGCAATATGCTCAAAGCAGAACAGAGGAAAACTGGGAGCTCAAGAGAATATGGAGAAATAAAGCCACTAGCTACAGACGGAAAGCTATCAAAGAATATTGGAAACAAAAGGCAGATGACCTCAAAGCTAAACCAAGCGAGTTCTATAAAACCTTCAGGCCATTTCTTAGCGATAAGAAGCAGCCTATAAGCGAGATCCACATTGAAGAAAACGGGAGAATTGAGAAGGGCCAAGAAAAAGTAGCAAATGTTCTGGCAAACTACTTTTCTACGATGGCCAATGATATAGGTGGAGCAGGTGTCAATTGCTTAACTAAGGACGATTTGTCGAGTCATCCAAGCCTCACTAACATCTGCAATACAAATAAGAGCAACCTCAAGAACTTCTGCTTTCAACCACTCAGTAGAAATTCAGTTAAGTTAGCCCTTGAGAAACTAAACGTCAGAAAGGCCTGTGGTTATGACTCCATGTCTCCTAGAATGTTAAGGCTAGCATCAAGTGGCATAGCAGATTCCATAACAAATATTTTTAATGAGTGTGTAAGGAAAGGTGAATGGCCTGAAGCATGGAAGAAAGGAGAGTGGAATCCAGTCCACAAGAAGGATGACCGGCTAGATGAAAGAAACTATCGTCCAATAACATTGCTAAGTACAGTAGATAAGGTTTTCGAGTCCATGATGAGCATACAAGTGAATAATCATATTGATTCCAAGCTCGATCCCTGCATATCGGCATACACAAAAAAAAACACAGTTGTGAAACTGCTTTGCTAAAACTGACTGAAGATTGGAAGCTGGCTGTGGATTCTAAGCAATATATTGGAATTCTGTCAACAGACATGAGTAAAGCATTTGATTCCCTACATCCATCACTCATGATAAATAAACTTGAGGCGTATGGCTTTTCAGAGGAATCACTCAGCTTGATGAGATCATATTTCTCCGTGCGACAAAACAGAGTCAAACTAAATGGAGTCACCAGCAGTTGGAAGGATGCTATCAGAGGATGCCCTCAAGGGTCATCATCTGGACCCTTATTGTGGAACATTTTTCAAAATGTTATTACCTATATACTAGATAATGCAAGCTTTTCAATGTACGCTGACATCATCAGCTGTATGTAAAGGGGCATTCAGTTGACTGCGTGGAACAACTTTTAACTAATGGGGGGGGACCATATCAAAATGGTACAAAGAAAACTTTTTGAAGGGAAATTACGACAAGTATAAGTTAATGTTATTAGGCAGGAAAACAAAAATGAGGATAGTCCATCTACCAATATTAAGATTGATGAACAGGTTATTAAATCGTCACCATACTTGAAGTTACAGGGAGTAACACTAGAGGATGAACTTAGTTTCAGTACTCATATAAGTGATAGTTATTAGTATTTCCATAACCTGTGAGCTAGATAAAGTCTGGACGAAAAGGGAGAAGTTACATGTTAATCACTTCTGGGAGTTAAAGAGTTAATGTAATATGTTTTTTCAGCAAAATAAGCATTATAACTTACGAACTGATTTTCCTGTTCCAAGATATAATACTGTTAAGTATGGCAAGCACAGTATCAGATATTTAGGCCCACACATATGGGGCAAGATAAGCCAGGAACTACGCAGTACGACCAGTCTTCAGGCATTCAGGAGAGGGGTGCGTGCTCTCAATGTGCTTGGCTTGCTGGATGGCACGTGTGGCTGCTGTGCATGCTCATCTTAAAGAGGTGGGTATGCATAGTGGCTTTTGCTGTGCGGCTGCCTGGTGTATTGGGAGTCTGCTCCCCTATCCTCTATTAAACTCGTCTTATTTAACTTTTCTAGACTTTTAACTTTCTAAATTCTGTATATACATTCTATTGCTGCTTATATGATTGTCTGTAACAATTTTATATATTGATGCTTTTTATATATATTAATGATATTTTGAGAATATATCCTGATTAGGATGGTTTAGAAGGTGGCGCGACGCTTGTATAACGATCAAATGGCAAACTTTAACAAAAGCAACGATCTCTGAGACTGATTTACATTTTTTTTACATTCAAGTAGACATTTTACTATTTATTTTTCTAGCCATGTTTCTTTTTCCAGGGAAATGATGAGAAAAGGGATTAAACAGATGAGGCCTCAACAAGATGAAAACGGGTGTCTGCGTACACTGCATTGATGGGGAGGTGTTCACTGCCACTTTATTTGGCGATTGTAGTTTTTATGAGACAACGTTTAACTTTAATTGCCTTTGAAGGGAAAAGATAGACTGACGGTTGTTATTAGAATTTCGTCAGATTCCTCACAAAGCTGCAATCGGGGCTGTTGCGTTAAAAAACAAAAAAAAAAAACAGTCAGTGTGAACGAACTGTGCGGCCGAAAAATCAAGCAAAAAGTGAAAATGCGTGTGACAGACAGTTGATTCAAGCTGTACTTTTACAATTATGAATTTATTGCACACATGTAACGTCGATTATTGATTTACTCAATAACTTGTTATTTTCTCACACTAATATTGATATCAAACATCCAACTTGTTTTCCGTAGTTTGATTGAAGATGCATATCGGTTGGCATTTCGTTCGATCAGATTACACTCCTCTTAGCTTATATTTACATAGTTACATTAGTTACATACTGATTAACTGTCGAAAAAATAATTTCTGGTTCTCTACCAATTTATGATTACACACTACGTGACAATTGAATATCTAATAAAAAATCTAAAGGACTGAAGCAAATATCACAAAACTTGGGGTGCACGGTTCAATCAGCTGGAAATCGTAGTTCTAGTGAAACGTTTTTTAGCTTTCTCGCAAATCACAGAGGGATGCATTTTTTACATCATAAAGGAATCTCCAAGCAATATTTTCCTTATGGAGTACTCGAGCTGGCACAGCAAGGGACTTGCCACAATTTTTTCGCCTTGCAGATTAAAGATCCTCTTTTCATCAAGACCATCTGGGATCCAGTCATCAATGGCTCTTTCCTCCGTCAAATATACAATTATCAGTTTGTCAATAAATTCTTTGTTTCCTGTGAACTCCTCATATATAACCTTCCCATCAAACGTAAGATAATCATCATCACCCTCTCGTTGTTTGTCTTTAATGAGATACGAAGCGTGGCGTGATCCGACCAAAACGGTGCAGTCCCCTTGGCAGCGAAGTTCACTCCTAAAATCCCCTTCCTCTGCGGAAATTCGGGTGATGGTTCTCACATCTGCTATATTCCTCAGCCTACCTTGTAAATAGTCTCTCATTTTCCTCGCTTTGTCCTTTTCACTTTCAGTATACAAAAACATGATGTACTTCATCTCTGACCTCTGGAATTCGTCTGTGAGAATATAAGTAAGCCGAACGAAGATACACCGTCAACTTTGCTTCGCAAGTGTGCACAAATCAATCAGATATGATCGAAATGGACCAGTTGGACTCTTTCTTCGATGAAGGAAACTTTAAGTGCAGCTTTCAACATTCAAGAACAAGTTCAAGGGAGTACTTTCACAGAACCTGTTATATATACCGGTGAAATAAGTGCGAAATGATCGTGGACTGTCAGTCCTAAAAGTTGTGATTCATCTCATTAAAACCAAGTATGTGAGAATGTTAAATCTGTTTTCTACAAGGTGTTTGGTACTCTGACCAAACCCCATACACCATGGATCATCCCTGACAACTTGGAAAGCCCGCGTGATAATGCCATGCATACAGCATAAGCATTATAATACCGACTTTGGTTAATTAGTACCGGCTAGTTGGCAGCGAGAACCGGTGATTACACGGTTTGCACCTCTCCAGCTGCCAACTTTTGTAATTAAAGGTTGATGTTGTCCACTTTGCATTGGCTGGTAGGAGTTACCGCGAGATGGCGTAAATTAACTTGGGAAACGAATCTTATGCATCCACCTTAATTCTAATTAAAAATTTCAGGAAAAGATGACCAAACCCAATAGAAAACATGATAATTGGGTTTAATCAACTGAGTTGTAATGTAAATTGGGTACTGTAAAGAGTTTCAAAGCTGACGTTTTGTGCGTAAACCCTTTGTCATACCGAATAGAAGAATTCGAGGGAAACGACAGGGGGGGGGGGAAGAATTGACAGCATGGGGTGCGGCAAAAATTCTGGACTAATTCTTATAGATTTAGTTATATTTCAATGGAAAAACGCTCATAGTCGATACCTGTAATGAGTGATGTATCATCAGATCAAACTTACAAAACACAAATTTGTCATTATCTTTAGCCTATCGAGGCACCTTAACCTTACAGCTGGTTTTAGTGGGGTCTGTGTGAGAAATAAGTATGTGTAATCAGATGGCGACGAGTGAAATTAGGAAATAATTTCACGCGTGTTTTGTCAAAATCTTGATAATTTCCCGAGCCTTTAGGCGAGGGAAATTATCAGAATTTTGACAAAACGCAAGTGAAACTATTTCCCAATTTCACAAGAAAACCATTTGAAAACCTTTTAGTATCGTGGGTGACAGTACGTTCACAACCGTAATTGTTTTTACTGGTTTATTCTATCGAAAACCGAGAACATGAAGAAGAATATAGTTTTCGTTTAAAGAATACATTATTGTTAAAGTTTGTAATTTTCTGAGTTTCTTGACAAAAAATACCTTTCGAATTTTCCGTGCCTGTGTCATAATTTTCGGCCGCTTCTTTTAATTTCGTAACTTCTTCAAGAGTCACCGTCTTAAATCTCGACGCCATCTTGGCTTTAATCGAGATACAAGAGATGTTACTGTGGCAATTTTGTAATTTCACATGTGAAATTAAAAATTAACGCTGAAATTTTGCCCCATAAGGAGTAATTTGTCACCTATGATATTATGAGTAAAATGTTCCTTTCCAGATCGATTACCGGTGGCGCTGACCAAAGGGATTGCAGCATTAGGAAAGAGCGCACTCGACCCATGCTATCTCTGCCATCTCAATGTCTCGTCATCACCAAGCAGTACTTTCTGCTCAATATTAAGGAACCTGATGGGGTGGCAAAGATTGAATTTTAATTACAGTTTTGAAACTTGATAAATCGTTTTACTTATGAATGGGATATGGCTGATAACTTGTGATTCAGGAATGAGAAAAGAAGAGCGAGAGTTGTCGGAGCACAATGAAAAAGTTAACAACAAACAAGATGCCGGTCACCATCGACAAGCTCAAGATGTGTTAGAAAATGAATATAACGGGGATTTCTGGATGAAAGTAAGACAAATGAAATGTGTAAACACCGTAATCAGTGAAGCTGAGAGAGTCTTAAGCTTAGCACATGCCTGAACGTTTCACAGAGATGAAACCCTCAATGCTTTGCCTAATTCAAGGTGGGGCTTTGGAAAGGAAATCTTGGGTGAGATGTTGAGAACCCATGTCCAACCATTTTCTAGTCTATTAAAGCCTGTATTTATTAGATGATGACCTGAAAACTTTACATTTTTGAAACTTTATCTCAAGTTTGACAGGTGAAATTGATTAGTAGAACCTTTTGAACGCGGCCTTAATGCAATCTAATGTTCAAGTCATTTTAAGTATTTTCTGATAATTTTGTTAAAACTTCATTTAAAACCACTGCAAAGACGCGTCGTAGGAAACGGCAATTGCGATTAATGCTAGCCAGAGCTTGTCTTCTGAGCTATAACACAATCTTCTGCAAAAAAGATTTCAGAGAACGTTTTGCAAGAGTATGCAAATTGCTTGTTTGTAGGTACGTTTAGAGCAGACTAAGGGACTGTCATGGAGTAGAGCCATGGATCAAGTTACTGTTGAAAGACTTATCCAGGAATACAAGGATACTGGAGAAATAGATGATGAGGATCCAGCCCTTTTGATGTTAAAACTATGGCCAGCATCTAACTACTACAAAGATAACCCTGACAAACTCCAAGGTCTTGAACAGAAGGTATAAGTTTACAGCCATTAGTTGTCGAAGAATTTTATAATAAACTGGCAGTCTGAAGTATATACTGTGATTTGGGGATAAAAATGGTTAGTGGTGAAAAAGTACGGTGTTTGATTGTTGTGCACTATTAAAAATATAGAATTTTCAGAATGTTAAATGGAAAGAAGTGTAAGCACAATCAAAGACTGGAATGTCTCTGGTTTTTAGACAAGTGAAACATTGTTTTTTTAAAAGCTTGTATTGTAGTTCCTCACTGTATTTAGTTGTTGACATGTTCTCTTGCAGATAAATTGTCTTTTGGAGATAATGCTAGAAAGTGAACTGAATGCCAACAGCAGATATGAGATATTCAGAGATGAAGAAGATAAAACAAAGAAAACATTGCTGCACTATGCCTCGGAACTTGGATTTCTACAGGTCACCAAGACACTTGTGAAGAAATGTCCTGTGCTTCTAACTATGCAGACAGAGGAATTTAGGGAAAAAAGAGCCATGTTTGCAGTTGAATTGGCCATTTTAGCAGGAAATGACGAGGTTGCTGCATACTTGATCAGGATGATGTGGCATGAAAGGTACAGTGAAAACTGTATTTTGAATGAAATGGTTCCCTCCAGTTTAATAAACTGGGCTTGAAAAATAAACAGTGCCTGGTTATCCAGAATAAGCAAGGTTAAGCATTGTAGAAAGTAATATTACTGACTTTCTCACATACCTTGTGGGAAAGCCTAACACATTATGATACAGTTCATTAAGACCCCAGTAGAGAAGTTCTGTTTTAAATACATTCAAGAAAACAAGAATATGTAAAAAGCTGAATCATTGTGATGATGATTGATCAGGAGGAGATTTAAATAGTAAATCTGATTTCATTACTTGTGTATTTTTTTACCAGAGAGGAAAACCAAGGAAAAAAGGTTGATTAATTTCTTAAATTTTGTGAAACATGTGACTGATTTTCATTGTTGTTATTTTATTTTCACTGTTATTAGAATATTGAGATTATTTTTTTGGAGACCTGCAGTTAATGTAAGAAATCCTCAGCCATCTTTCTTTAGTTTCAAGTCCATTATTGACAATCCTAAAATGAAGGTGGGTATTTTAAAGTCTGTATTATTTATTAACTGCAAGGTGTAGGACTGTCTTGTTGCCATCAAAAATACTAATCAGTTTATTTCACCTCTTAAAGGTGATGCAGGATGTATGTAAGCCATACAGATCATCGAATGATTGTGTATTTTTATATGTATTTTGTAACTGTGTTGAGAAAGTGTTGTAGTTTCCACGTCTATGTGATTGCAATAGAAAACAGTGGTAGCAGTACTAGACCAGATGGTGAATCCTCACTGGCCATATCTTCCAAAACGCAAGGATAGCTATGAAAATGAAAAAGAGAAAGAGGTAGTTGAGGGTGCCTGGCATACAATCACAGATGATCCTTTGGATTATCATTTTCGTTATCATATTTTGGATGGTGATGAGAGGGGACGGCCCCCAAAAGTCAAATCACCAGGAGGACAGGGACAGAAAGAAAACAAATTTTTCAACTGGAGGGACAAGTCTTGTTTACATGTCATTGCACAGAGCAGAAATATGGTGAGGTTCAAATTTTCAAAGAAATAATTTTTCTGTGTTTGGTTATCCTTTGTTTGGAGAAATGCATGGAAGAGTCATCCATAATATTTGATGGCTCATTGGCTGAAATGCAAGCTTTTTCTTTTGTTTACAAGCACATCTAGTTCAAAATGTTTTTGATTTGGTACAGGCAACACAATTTATTGCCCTTCCAGTTATGGAACATTCATATTGTTGTGTATGATGCACAATCCTCACAGTAGAGAGCACTATTTATGCAATAGCGAAAATCAGACCTGAAAAATATCAGGCCTGTATGGGATTCAAACCACTGACCTCTGTGATACTAGTGCAGTGCTCTACCAATTGAGCTAACAAGCCAACTGGGAGCAGGCCGTTAAGTTGATTCGTAATAAACCCGTGATGATAAATCAGATACAATGAGTATATGAAGTTCATATATTTTGAACTGCGGTTTGAGATACGTATGATGCACGATCCTCGCAGGAGAGAGCGCTATTTATGCTCAATTGGTAGAGTGCTGCACTAGTATCGCAGAGGTCAGTGGTTCGAATCCCGTACAGGCCTGATTTTTTTCAGGTCTGATTTTCGCTGTTGCATAAATAGCGCTCCCTACTGCGAGGATCGTGCATCATACGTATCTCATACCGCAGTTCAAAATATATGAACTTCATATATTCATT